AGCTCAGGTTTTCTTTTTAACTACGAGACAAAGTTTAACAATACATACCCTCCGAACATATTCCTCCTGTCTTTTCGAAACGGTTCATCACTAAAGCCCTGTATCTGAATTTCTTCATTTATAATAGACGGATCCAAATGAGTTTCAGTTATACAAAAAATGTCAACATCGTCGGTTAATGCTTAAATATACAAATGTAGCTTATTTTCTCTCCCCTTCGAATGAAGGGAGTCATATTGTATTAGTACTGGTTCTTCTTCTTCTTCTTCTTCCTCTTCTTCTTCCTCTTCTTCTGGTTCTTCTAATCGCAACTTGTCCGGGCCATACCTTTTAAACAATTAAAGATATCTTGATGAAACTTAAGGTATGCATGCATCACCCACATAAGGTGTGCAATGCACTAGAATTAGGTCAACGTAACCTTCACCTACAGTTCAAAGGTAAAAATAAGTGCAACATTTTCAGTAAATTCTTGTCCGGCCGGTAATTTTTCAACCTTTTAAGATATATTGATCAAACTTGAAGTATACCTGCATCACCATAAGAAGGTATGCAGTGCACTGGAATTAGGTCTCTTGCTTCACTATATACAGAGTTATGGCCCTTTGTTTAATCTTAATACCGAAGTTTGTCCGGAGCATAAGTTCCATGTTATTTCACCTACGTTGACCAAACTTACCATATTTATGTATCTTGGGAAGGCGGAATCTCTCGCACTAAAATCAGGTTTTGTGCCCCACTATTAGCTGATTTATGGACCTTTGTTTATTTTTTATATCGAAAATTTGTCCACGGCATAACTTCTTAACTGATAAAGATATCTTGATCAAACTTGAAGTATACCTGCATCACCCACAGAAGGTGGGAAGTAGGAATGTTGCATTCTAAATTTGGGTCTCGTGCCCCACCATATAAAGAGATATGGCCATTTCCTCAGTTTTTATACCGAAGTTTGTCTATTGGCTAATAAGGGGAGACATATCTTTTTGTTCACAAAAACAAAATTCTAGTTTTGCTTCGTATACTTCTAATGTTAAAATGCATAAGATTCAGTGAATGGGTTGCCGTCATATTACTAGAGTTTGGACCAGGGTTGTAATGGATATCTCCTGATGTCATCAGAAGAAGATGTATTATAATTGGAAAGTATACGTTTATATTATTGATAACAGATTGTTGAAAGAACAGATTGACCGTGAATAACAAACATTTGAAATTAACTTTTTTGAAAGTGAAGGTTATTAAAATGGTTGCAACTTAACAGTGAAAACAGCCTATGGCAGCCCTCCACACACCAACATCATTCCCTACTAGGGAGTGCACAGATAATATTTTAGGGGCGCGAGAAGGGCTTTCATATACAGACAGTCTAATAGAGAGCAGATGGGGACGACTGGATGTGAGTTTAAAAAAGGGAAAGGAAATGAGGTTGACAAGGCAGTAGATGATGGAAGGTAGGGAAAGCAAAAAGAGAAAGAGAAAAAAATGGAGAACGTTTTGATAGATATTTGGTATTCCGTCTTTGCATATTGCAGAGTTATCTTCTCTTGGGAGCAGGTATTGATTGTTACGTCATTGGTTTGTGTGAGAAAATTACGTCGTTTTCTCAAAAATTGATGACGTTACTCTCACAAACAAGTGACGTAACAATCAATACCTGCTCCCAAGATAAGATAACTCTGCAATACGCAAAGACGGAATAGTATCTTCATAGGGAAGATGACGTACATGAGGTGATTCCCAAATATCAGCAGATAGGGTTCTGATATGGGATTGAATCTTTAGGTGTGGAATCGGGATGATTTGTACAGTGGTATAGTTTATACATAAATGCCATAACCTGGACACAAAAGCATAACCCTTTATCAGAAAAAGGGCCGACCAGAGATGTCTAAGAAAAACAGGGTCCACGGTAGTCCGAATTATTCTGACGTCTTGTACATAAAGAAGAGATCTTTCGATCCATGTGCGACATGTGTGTGAAAGTGACGATTTGTTTCTAAAATATCAGTTTGAAGTGCGCTCCTGGCGCGGGTCGCATATTTCCCGCGTATTATAGAGGGCCGGAGTTCTGACGTTAATCGACGACAGACCGATATTAAAAAAGTCGATAAAACGTCAGAATAATTCGGATTAGGTCCGCGATGGCCAAGTGATTAAGGCGTTTGATATTCTGCTACCACTAGCCCTCCACCACTGGGTCGCGGGTTCGAGGCCTACGTGTGGCAGTCGCAAGGTACTGGCCGTAGGTCGGTGGTTTTTCCTCCGGGAACTCCGGCTTGTCCTCAAATGGCCATAGCTGTTAATAGGACGTAAAACACAAACAAACCAAACTAAGAGAAACACTCGCAGAAATAGCTGTAATCCTGACAACAGCGTCATAACTGTGATATTCATGTGGGTTTGTTGGAGGACTTGCTGTGTTTTAAATAGCAAACACATGTAATATGTTTGCCTTTCAGAATCATCAATAAGTCATGAGGACTCCATCAATTTTTGAGATGTGTAAATAACAAGCCCTTCTGTTATAACTTGACATTTTCATTATCACGTTTGTAGCTTTGGTCAATCCTTGAACTAATGTCAATGAACGTTTCTGACATTTTGAAAATTCGTGTTGTTATTTCTACGAATAACAAGTATAATAAGACTTGCTTAAGTTAATCCTAGAACAATGAATAACTAACAAATAATTAACATTAATGAACATAAACCAATTTGTCAATTGAAAACATTTTACGCGCTGGTCGGATAGGCTTTTATGAGATGATGAATCGAAAACCTTTTAAACATTAATGAGATTGTTTACATCAAACGTCTCAATTAAATTTGTGATTAGCAACCTGGTTTGATTTGAAGATTGGAAACCGTTCGAAACCATCTCTTTGCCTGTTTTCCAAGAATGAATGGATTTCACGGACACTTCCCAATTCACAGTTTGTCAACAATATACCGTTTTAGGCACAAGGAAGGATTGCGAATATTCCAGCTCGGAATTCGCAATTTCTGATAAATATCCACGGACAGCAAAATCCAATATCTTTTCTCTAGATATATATTGTACATGTTATTTCTAGGTCGAACCATAATTAAACCCAAAAACCTGAATTTAGTTTGGTTTAAGCGGTGTGAAGGTAATCCTTTGAAAGTCCATGAGATCGTTTTACAGTGGTCCTCTCTTGCATATACACAAACACACAAGTGCTTGCACCTTTAACATTTAGAAATATGCAAAAAATGAATTACACTGCATCATAAAGCTGTTTTGTCCTTCTAGGACTCATTTGGGGTTGCTACTAGCCAATTAATTGGAAAATCAAATTGGTTTAAACTACATTTTACGTAAAACCCATTAACTTATTAATTTCAAACTTTAGAAGACTATTGGTTAATTTCGGATTAATAAAATATTAACGTGTGCATATAATGAACCGTGACGTTACTCTGTGGCCACATACATATATATATACACCACAGATTTAGTGAAGACAAATGGGCTTCATGACTTAATGAATGCTCAGAACCTTATCTGCAATAAAAAATTGAAACAGAGAATTAAAACTAGCATTTTTAAAGAATTCGAAACTAACTTTTTCAGGAAACTACAAGCGATGACAGATTAAAATAAATTATTCTTGTATAAAGATATTAAGAAAAAATATACACAAGAAAAATACCGATCTATCACTATTAAAAACTTAAGAATGTTGTATACAAAATTCAGATTGTGCGAGCATAGCCTTGAACTGGCAATAGGATCATCAAGAAAAAACCCTAGAGAGCAAAGAGTATGTAAAAATGTATTGTTCTAGAAGATGAAGAACACTTCTTCAGGTGTGGCTATAATGCACAGCTGAGAAAGGACTATTTAAGGAAATATATTAAAAACTATTCTATACTAGACACAAATAATTTAACACATATTTTATCTTCTGACAATATGCAACTTATACTTGACTCGTGCTTATATATAAAACAGTCACTTGACCTGAGAAGTGTGGGCCTGGGCTTCTGTGTAAGTCTATATATTGTTCACTATTGCAGTTTCTGCCTTTAAGTTACCCTGTAACTATTAATGAGCAATAAAATAATTGAAATTGAAAATGAAATTGTATATAAATATTGTCTATGTTAAGCTTAATAATCTCATTTGCTAAATGTCATTTCATTTTCTCGTAAATAATCATGGAAAGTAATTTTTCATTTGAGATTAGAAAAAACAATTTTCGAGAACATGGTTTTGGTTTCAGATGGTTTAACGTCGTATTTACAGCAACGGTCATTTCAGTAAATTTTAAAGAATATACTTTCAAATTATACATAAATTTCACTTGATGGAAATATGGCCTTTTTGTATTTGGGAAAATGATTATTAGGCTCAAAACTTATAATGTATCTCGTCTGAAAAGATTTTAAATAATATCAAAGAACAAACCAATTATCATATTTAATTGGAAAGCATATACAATAAGTTTAATTTTTTAATTACACATGAAAACTTACAATGTAGTTTACAGGTACGTCTGTACGGCGTTTTAAATATATCCGTTTTATATATCATTGTTACTGTATCACATAATCAATATTCTGCTGGTAAATTATCATACAGATTGTCAACAGGACCATCTATTATATATGATAAGTGCTTGAAATCTACACGGTAAGATCCATAAGATAGTATGATGCTTAACCACTGTAGGTAATTAATTAGACGTCAGCTCCAGGTTTATCCATACAGTACTATAAGATATCATTAAACATTTGCAAATAATATGTGATACGATGTAACTTATTGACCCCCACAGATCATCCTTAAATTGGCTATTCATTGTAACCCCCCGGGGATATATGTACTCCTGCCCGGGGCCATGGGGCCATTGACCCTCAAATCTGATATCAACCCCTTCATGTTCCAATTTTCTTTTAATTTGACATAGAATGGCCCTTCTTAATTTTGATATTGACTAAAAAATGCTAAAAATGACACACTGCTCTCAAAGTCAGGATTGTCCCTGAACCCCTAAATAACACGGGTCGTGTTTTGTAAATACGGCGAACACACATGTGCTGTATTTACCAGATGCTGAGGGCAAGGGTAAGCTTGCGTAACGGTATGTTAGCCGCTAACGTTACGCAGACCCTACTAATGTACGCGAGTTTTACACTGGATTAACAAAAACAGCATTTCTTTATCTCACTGCTTTCAAGCAAACCGCCTATGTGCTGATAGCTAGGGCACGCACACTTCTATTGACTTTTCTACACCCATACACATTATGTTCCAATAGACCGATGTATTGGGCCAGCTAGCCACATGTTCCAAAACTGGCCCCGCAACGTTTCAAAGTTCACTGTTCCCTTTCTGTCCGCCCATGCGAAGTTAATGATACTTGAAGTGTTCGCTTTGAGTGTGTTAGGTTCGTATTCTGTACATGAAATTGATCATATGAGAATCAGTCATTTTTTTTGTTTACAGTTTTTTGAATCGTTACAAGAGAACCAATACAAGGGAAAGATAAAAACAGCGGTCGCTTTTAGTTGTGTCAACAGTGATGTTGACGTTTGTATGGGGACAGTTCTCAGCGGATCGTGTCGGCTCGGATATATACCATTACTGTACTATGCTCATCGATCTTGTACTATGGGTATTCGCATATCGACCGGACGCTAGAGATGATACATCGTCATGTATATAGATCACCGCGTGCTCCATCCTCACTCTCCTTAACTAAATAGCACCCGAAACACCGAATCGTTGCACGTGCGAACGACAAAGCGGCGAAAGACGGATAGAAAGTCCAATGTTTGTGTCTGAAACGACTGGTACGACATCGTCTGATCATAAGATACATATCAGCTGTGTTGAGATAGGGCAATGTAGATCGCTACACTATAGCTCGGTCGGTTGGTGATGCTGAAGTGATGGATACATATAGCTCTACTCAGTCAAGCGCCACACTGGTACTGAAATGCGCTGACTGACGTGCATTGGCGCGTATTCTAGTGTGTTGATACCCTTACAGAGCCTCAGGAGGGTTAATGAATGTCAGGCTCGACAGTTACTCTCGTGCATGGCCAGTGGGGGTACTCACAAGTAGCCACGCATCGGTCAGGGAGAACGCTTGAGCGATAAGGTTCGGGCATTCCAACAGTGAAACTGGAGCTTCGAATGAAGGGCCTGGGTGTCGTCTGCCGAATATGTGATATGTGACATACATGTGCGCGTGCATGTCCGCTGATGTGCAGTGTTCGTCGCACGGTAGAAAAAAATTCCACTGGATTTATTCACCCATAGTATTTTCCAATAACAAATATGGCAGCCCCGTATATGTGGGAGAAACGACTCCTTTATTCCTCAACGGGCGGGACACTTTTTGGCGTTTTGCTCCACATTATAGCCGTCTCTACAACTCACTGGCTTACGTTTGAGATACCGGGCGGGCTCTATGTCAATGCTACAGGCAGGGTCATCAGCGAAGTTCAGAGTGGCCTTTGGCGATCTTGTAAAACGGAATTTACCATAACAAGGGACTCAAGCAATCAGATTGTCAGGAATACATGTAAGTAAACATATTGTCATTATTTCTCTTCTGGGGCTAAGCTCCTAGTCGATTCAGCCGTTCGAGAGTAAGATAACAGACTCACTAACCCTTCATGATATTGATACCATTATCTATACCGTAGTTACCACGTACAACGGGCCAGATTATCGCTCTATCACCACCGTGTACCGTATTTAACGAATTTATGTAATGTTGAAATCGTCCCCTGTACAAAGTGCAGGAGTGTGATCATTCCGAAGTAACTCCGTATAAGAGCGAAACTCTTTGTGTACAGAATTGCAACATCATTCCATTATATTACTAGTGTCGTCTCTCCAGCAATGTATACCGTAGTTACTCTATGTGTGTAGTAAGAGACACATTTCCACGACAATGTCATGACATTTACCACAGTGGCATTGCTTTATGTAATAGACGCCATCACATTAAAAACACTTTCATCTTTCCAACGTTATTTACCGTAGTTACTCTGTGCAGAGCGATATCGTCTCAGTACAATACACCGACATATCGTCTCATTATAACAACAGTGTCATAATTCTATCATTCTTTACCGTAGTTACTCTGTGCAGAGCGATATCGTCTCAGTACAATACACCCACATATCATCTCATCGTATCGACAGTGTCATCATTATACTCCCGCAACGAAGTTAGCGGGGTGGGGGTGGGGGTGTTATACTGGAATCACCCTGTCTGGATGTCTGTCTGGATGTCTGTCTGTCGTCCGCAGTAACTTGTCCGGAAAACTCCTCCTTAATTAACAGGTGGATTTCATTCAAACTTTGCATGGATGATCAGTATCTTATGTAGTTGTGCACCGGCATTTTAATTTGGGATTACGACCCTTTTTGATGGAGTAATGCCCCTTTGTGCGAAATACTTGATACTTGTGGGAGACTATGGATTGCTTTGCAATGCTTTGCCTTAGTAAGCCTTTAACTTACAGTTCTGGTTTATATAGCAGCGGGGTATTAGTTAGCCTTTAGCTTACAGTTCTAGTTCTATCATTCTTTACCGTAGTTGCCCTGTGTAGCGCTACAACATCACATGACAATACAGACATCATTCCATTACACTGCAATGTCGTTATTCCAGCACTTATACCGTAGTTACACTGTGTGCAGTGGCATCATCATATTACAATAAAGACGTCAGCAATCTCGTCATTCCAACACAGTATACTGTAGTAACTCTGTAAAATAAACACACCATCCCAGCACAATACACCGACATCATTCGACCATTATATACCGTAGTTACTATGTATAATATACACACAATCCCAGCACAATACACCGACATCATTCAACCATTATATACCGTAGTTACTCTGTATAATAGACACACAATCCCAGCACAATACACCGACATCATTCAACCATTATATACCATAGTTACTCTGTATAATAGACACAGAATCCAAACACAATACACCGACATCATTCGACCATTATATACCGTAGATACTCTGTATAATATACACACCATCCCAGCACAATACACCAACATCATTCGACCATTATATACCGTAGATACTCTGTATAATATACACACCATCCCAGCACAATACACCGACATCATTCGACCATTATATACCGTAGATACTCTGTATAATATACACACCATCCCAGCACAATACACCGACATCATTCGACCATTATATACCGTAGATACTCTGTATAATATACACACCATCCCAGCACAATACACCGACATCATTCGACCATTATATACCGTAGATACTCTGTATAATATACACACCATCCCAGCACAATACACCGACATCATT